CCACAGGGAGTGCAGCCCACGCCGTCGCCGGTGACTCACAGCAGCCCAGCTCCAGGTTGAGCTGTTGTTCAGCATCTTAGCTGCAGAGGGCAGCGTCACTGGCCCTCATATGTGGGATCCGAACCGGGGCCCTTTGGCATCCCAAGCGAGTTCTTAACCATCGCGCCACTCGGCCGGCCCTGGAGAACTCATTTTTACTAGAAGTGCCATAGGTAAACTACTAGGAGAGTAGACAGCAGACATTTTTCACTCGAGAAGAACTTTCTAAATGCACTCTTTTTTTTTGGTCCAGTCTCTGATCATGCTGATGTGGAATCTGTTTCAATTAGAAGGATAGTGTAGTTTGCTTTAAAGAAAGATATTTTTCTCTTTAACTAGTAAAGACATAAGATTGTTCTAAATGACAGACACACGTTTTATTTTTCAGTAACTGTGCATGTTTCTAAAAATGGGGAAAAAAAAACCAAGCCATATGTGTAATCACAAGAAACTAGTGGAAAAAATTAGGGTGACAAGAGTATGAAAAATAATCCTCATCATCTAACTCTTGAAAAATCAAGGACATGCTGTACAAAAGCAAAGAAAAAGAGAAGATGATTGCAATTAAGAAACAATGTGGAATCTCAGAAAGCCCATAAACCTCCCCAAACTATTAAAGCCTGCATTTCAAACAATATTTCTGGTGAGAAATCTGCAGTTTTCCATCAGTATAATTTTTAAACAGTTTTTAAAATTCATTTAAAGCTGATAGTAAACATTTAGTTTAAGCTATAGATGGATGTAATTCAGTAAATTCAGTAAACGCATAAACAAATATTTCTCAAAACTAACTTGACTCTTTCCATATGTCTCCAAATTTTTCTCTATGCTAGTCCTACCCTGAGCCAAAAAGGGTATTTAAAAGACATACATTTTGAAAATATATTTTTCCAGTGTTAGGATATACAACAATATTACAATCCCGACTTTTTTTTTTTATAGAAGTGAATTTTATTCATATATATCTCTGATCTTTTTTTAATGGTGTCTGGCACACAGCTTTCTCTTATGTCTGCCTTCCTTAAGTAGTGTCCAATTCAGGAGTAAAAGGCAGAGAGGAGATAGGCTAGGGCCAAACTCAGATCCGTAATATTTTTTTTTTGAGAATAAATAAGTTCTCTCCTAGGAGAACTCAGCAGCCAAGATTCAGTAATACTAAGGGGCCCCCAACCCATGGGAGGCACTGCAGTCCTATTTGGGGCTTCACCCTGATCTTGGGTTGAGGATCACCTAAGTAAGCACGGGCTGGCTGTTTATGACCTTCTTTCGGAAGGTGCCTCAGATACTGGTGGCAGCCATCTGGATGTGCTCACAGATTGGGAGCAGCTGCAGAATGTCTAAATATTCAACAGGACCCACAGCTGTTAGGAAGGAGCAAAGAGTTGCTAAGGTCCTCTTGTTGCAGACACACCCTGGATTTTTTTTTTTTTCCTGGCTCATGCAAAATGGAGAACGGGACGTCTGCCTTCACCTTTTCCTTTCCCCTTTTCTGGGGGCACGGATGTCTGCCATAGAAGAATTCTGTAAGGTCAATGCTAGAGAAGTGACCCCTCCTTTCCTGTGCCTCCCAGCTGTCTCTTTAAAAAATCTCTCTCTCAATTTGTGCTCTAATATTTTACAGAGGCATTATATAGGCTGCCGGCTGTGACAACTGAAACACTTCACTTTTTATTTATGTTAGGCCTTTATTAACTTATAGCAAAATGGTAGAGATGACAGTGAACAGTCTCCCCAAAATTAGGAAAAAAAGAAAATGATTCATTTGAATGTTATCTGAATATCATTTGAATGTTAAAAAAAATCCACAAATAATGGATCAGAGCAGATGTAACAAAGTCACCTTAAGGAAAGTGCTAGCATACAGCCAAACAGTAGAAACTGAATCTAGGAATTGACTGAAGTCCATGTTCTTCCTACTATCAGGGTATCAGGAATTATTATTGTATACAATCAGGCCTCAAACATGTGCTTTTTGACTCAGAATGAACAACTAGAGTGTTGATGTTAGGGGTGGATGTGTATCCAAAAAGAGTTAGAAAAGCCAATGCAAGGTCTGAAAATACTAAACAAAGATCATCAGCTTACTCATAGTTGTTTGATAGAATTTAGTTGAAAAATAAGCCTTGCTGTATAAATTAGGTCTAAGACTATAAATGTTCCTAAGACTTTCTTGGCTTCAGTTCCTCACTTATCAAATGGAGATAATTTTACCTATGTAAAAAGTGCTGAAGGTTATATTTAATACATGTAACGTACTTGTCATCATGCCTGACTTACAGTAGGTTCACAGTGGGTTCGCAGAAAATTACTATTGTTTTTATTGTTATCATCAGTATATCAGACTGAGCCGAGTACCACTCAAATGAACTACTAGACATATTACATATGAACAACATATTACAGAGGTTAAGAGCATGGGTTCTGGAGTAAGCTATGCCTGTGTTCAAGTTCCTACTCAGCTTACTCACTTGCCTTGTGACTTCGGGCATGTAACTTCCATCTCTTCATTAGTAAATTGGGAAAAATAATAGTGTCTACTGGGTTACTTTTGGCATTAATGTGATATTTACATAACAGTAAGTTAATTCAGGCACTTGCACATGGCAATATTTGCTATGGTCACTATTATTTTGTTAGAATTTGTCTTATCCTAAAAATAGGACATAATATTTGTAGACGTATTTTGGATTATCTTGCCAGGCTTCAGAAGAAAGTAAGAGTGAAATCAAACTTCCATGGCCCTGATTTATATTTATAACAAGAACTTCCTTATTAATGTAGAAAAAACTCTGGGAAGGAAATTCACTGGCTTAGTAAAGTTAAACTGAGAAGCTCCAATTTAGTAAGAAGGACATGGGCCTGGCAGGCCAGGGACCTCTGTTACAGGCCCAGGCCTGCCAAGAATCAGCCATGTGGCTTTGGCCAAGCCAGTTCACATTGCAAGGCCTCAATATCATCATCTGTAAAATAAGGCAATTCGGACAGATAATCTCAAAGGTTGAAAATTCTCTGAATCTGATCTAACAAGGTCTTATCAAATTCAGCTTTGGCTCTCTGAGAAGGAAAATGTGGCGTTTTAAGTGTGATGAGAGTAAGGGAATAGCTTAAAATATAAAAAATGGTCCTTATTGTCCTCCTGTTCCACGATAATTTTTTTTTCTCAGTTGATGTAATAGTTGGCTTTTTTTAAAGTTTCCCCCTAAAAAGTCCAGATGCTATGATTTCATCAACCACAAACAAATGGGGCAGGGCTGGTGAGGTCCTGGGAAAATGAACATAATTCCTGGAAAACAAAGTTTATATCCTAACTAGTTGTCCCAAAAGGACTAGATGGACTCGTACCCATTAGCAGTCTAAAACCAAACAATTCATGATTGATTGTAAATTTTCCATCTAGCTTAGTACTGTATTTAAATTATTAACACCAGATAACTTACATTAACTTATCTTGCTTTTGGATTTTTATGTGAGGTATCAATCAACTGTGATTATTCTTTCTCTGGGTCCATAGAGAACACGTTTGGCCACTAACATGATGACTATACACCAAGCGACACTACTTTCAAATATTCAACTATTTTCCAGCCAAAAATCAATCTAAAGATTATAAGCTAAATCAACCATTCTCTTCTATTTTGGGCAGTAATTCAAAAGTGCAATTTCTCTCATAGTTCAGGACATGAGCATCCTTTCATAAATAATTATCAACATGTAAAAACTTCCCAATGGTTGAACATATGGACTCGTAAGTGGTGTTGACCTTGCAAATCTATTATCCTTAGGTGCTTTAACTCATTATCCCTGAATCATATTATGCTTTAAAGTATATGTTGGACACACAGGGAACATATTACTGTTACAGTGCAGAAAACCAGGAACTAAAGACATACTGTGAAAGTTATATCATTTAATGAAGTAAGTACTAACCTAGCAAGAGAAGAATTCTGTGTTATATAACTCAGGGAAGGACCACTTGAGCCAAACAGTTTACTTTGCACAAATTTTTATTACAATGATGTTTTAAAAATATTTAATGGCAAATATGGCCCATAAACCAATTCTGAGGGTGTGGATTTTGCAGTAGCACTCAAAAGGTTAAGGGCAGTTGCTATTTATTAACTTGTATGTCATGTTTCAATATTATGACAATAAGAACACATCAATAATATACTGGGTGACTATCAGATGTAGCTCTAAATTTGAGAAATGTATAGAGGCAAGAGCAATGAAGGATCAATAGTTGTATAGAAATAAAATCCCAATACTATATAATCCCCAATAATGCTCCCTCTCTTTGCTTGGTATGTCTTTACTGTCTGAAAATTCCCTTGTTAGTTCCTATACTTATGACATCATCACATGCGACAAACTTTCCTGTCTTCTCCCTTTACCCCCACTTCCCACCCCCACCCCAAACGGGGCTAAATGTCTGCCCCTATAGCGCCAATATATTTCTATCACAACACTTGCAATTACAACAAATTGAAAATATAATTTTCCTGTCCCTTTCCTTAAGCCCTAGGTGTGTTAATACACAAGAATCTCCACTAGATATAAGCAGGACACATATCTGTCTTGTTCCACTGTATCCCTGAAACAAAGCAGACCCTCAATAAATATTTGCAGAAAGAACAATCAACCATTGCTTTTTAAAATTCCAATTCCCAGGTTCCACCCATAAAGTTTCTGATGCATTTTTTTAGCAACATGGCAAGTGATTCTTACGTAAATGGCCCAGGAGTTCTTTTATTCCTAGCACCTAGCTTTAAAACTGAAGAGTGAAAACAAGTCAATAAAACCCGATGGTGAGGGTTTAAATTCCAAATTAATAGAAACTATATTGAGAGCTTACAATTGAATATATGAGAGTTTGATTGAATATATGAAGACATAGACCCTACCTTCAAAGAGCTCATGGTCAAGTTATAGAGATGGATATGTAAATAAATAACTCTGACAAAAGCCAGAGTGTATTAAGAGTTATAATTGGTAATCATAGTCTCAAGATGTTTTTCATTTTAAATATAGTCCTATAATTCCTGTATTTTAATATTAAATTTACATGTCCTGATTCTTCCTCCCTCTTTTTCTCTATTTTCAGTTTTCTATATTATAAATACTAATCATATATTTGTTATATTGGGTTGGCAGAAAAGTCATGACACAGTTTTGCAATGAGAAACTTAGAAAAAATGTCATAACTTTTCCGACAACCCAATATATACATTGATGTTTCCCAAACTGTCTTTCAATTTTTTCAAGATTTTCTTAAAACCAGAGTTTATATTAATACCTCTCCATGGGTTTGTACTGAACTTCTCTATACATCAGTTTCTCCATATCATAATGGAGATAACAACAGTGTCTCCCACAAATCATTCTGCTGAGCTTCCAAAGAAAGATGTAAAGTGCTTATCATATCTGGCACTAAATATTAGTTGATCTCTCTTTCTTTCTTCTGATTGTGGGACGTCATCATTTTATTCCTAAGCATTTTATATTTTTCTTGCTATTATAAACTGTAGCAGCTTGGGAAATATTTTGGTAATGGCAGTGTTTGGAATGGAGGAAATGTTATTTTACTGTCATATTGTCATGATTTCATATAACTTTGGAAATATTCAAAAAAGTTACATGGTTATTTCTGGATGCCTTTCATATTGCATGAACAATTTGCCACATGCGGTTACTTCTGCTTTATATCTGCTTATTTTCACTAATCAAACAAGAATTTATTACATAACCAACTTCCACATATTACTAAACAAAGGAACACCAGTCTTCCGTGTTTTTCAACCACATTAGAGGAAGTCATCCGATAAATTGTTTGATTCTAGGCATGTGAAGAGGATGCGAATCACAGTAACATTTTGTAGTTGTTCCAAATCACCAAATGTATTTTGATCTTAGATTTTCCATTACATGTCATCTGATTAATAGATTGTAAACAGATTATGTAATTATAAATCCTTAGAAGATGCTTTTAGTGATAACACAACATTCCTACAAAAAAAAGACATAACAGTTCCCTTGGTCAAGGTCTTTTGACTTAAAGGAATTAAGTGGTTCTAACAGATTCAGGTCGACAATTAATATGAGTGATTGCTGAATGTTGCAAATATAAATACAGTTGTCCCCCCTTATCCATGAGGAATTTGTTCCAAGACAAATCCTGTGGATGACTGAAACCACAACAGTACCGAACTCTATATATACTATGTGTTTTCCTATACATACATACCTATGAGAGTTTAATTTGTAAATTAGGCACAGTAAGAAATTAACAATAAAAAAATTATACTACTATACTGTAATAAAAGTGAATGTGAATGTGGTGTCTCTTACAAAATATCGTATTGTATTGTACTTACCCTTCTTGTGATGATGTGAGATGATACAATGTCTATGTGATGTGATAAAGGGAGGTGAATTATGTAGATCTTTTGGAACCAGGGTCGACCAGAGGTAACTGAAATCGCGGGAAGTGAAACCACAGGTACGAGGGGACTCCTGTGTATCATATGCAGCCTTGATAATATGCAGTTTTGGAGATGTGTACACGTAAGTTATAACGGCAAATCAAAATGAAGAACTAAAGCCTTTTTTTTAAAGAAAGCCCACACATCTCTATTTACTTACATTATTTGACTCCATTTTCACTTCCCATCACATCTATCAGCTGTTAGAAACATGACATACAGATCTGTTGACTATGTTGGACCACAGTAACTCCTTACTCATTTTTGAGGAATATAGTCCAAGGAAAATAGCCATTTAATGTCTTCTCTCTTTTAGGAACTTCTGGGACAAGCTTGGAAGAATTACACTGCCATCCTTTTTACCCATGCAGAAAAAATAGAAGAGGCTGGGTTCAGTGAAGATGAATACTTACACGAGGCTTCCGATACACTGCTAACTGTACTAAATTCTCTTCAGCACAGATATATTTTCCAGTATAAAAAAGGAAACTCACTTAAAGAACAAAGAATGAACATCTTAGTAAGAATTATGGAATTTATAAGAGAAAACTGTTACCAAGTTCTTACCTTTAAATAAAATTTACATAAAAGGAAAAGGGCATTGGGTTTGAATGTCAGAAATCTGGTTTCAAAAGTGCCTTTGTTAGAATGGACCATAAGAATTTCTGTATCCTGCAGATGAGAGTGTACACTGGTACACTTCCAAAATTATCCAAATGTCTGTTAACAGTAGAATGGATAAGTAAATTGTTGTATATTCACAGAATGGAATGTTATATGGTGATGAGAATGAACAAACTACAACTGCACGTAATATCAATGAATTGCCCAAACACAAAGTTGAAAGAAGAAAGCCAAACATGAGTACATACTCCATAAATGTAACAAACTTGGTTTTCAACATTTGAATACATTTTTCTATATTCATGTCATTACTCAGTGTTACCGTTTTAAACAACTATTGCTAACACCAGTTTGATAAATGTAAAGGCATTATCTTACTGTTAATGCTTTTCCCAGACTACTACTGAATTGGAGCATCTTTTTATAGGCATGTTGGTCATTTAGATTTGTTCTTCCATGAACTGCCTCTTCACATTCTTTGTCCTTTTTATCACTTTTCTATTGGATTACTTCTCACAAAGATCTTTCCTTGACCAAAACTTTAGACAGATTCCTGAACCTTCTCCTAGGCCCATCTGTGCTTTGTAAAATCTAGTTTTAGCAAGAACCCAGTTTGACCATAATCCTCCACCCTCTTCTATTACCCCCTGGGAGATGTCTGATCACCTTGGCCTGTTTGGGAGAGGTCCTGTTAGGTGGGTTTAGCCTGGCTCCTTCTGACCCCTGCTTCCTCTTAGTGTTTTTCCATCCACAGATCCCCACCCTGCTCCTTGGCTATCCATTCTCACTTGCCCATCCTGTATTCGGAGTTGGGCCTCATCGCTCTCCCCACTGTAAAATCCCACTGCAGTGGTGCCTATACCTATGTCAGTGGACCTGAATTACTAACAGGTCTGCCTTACCATCTTAACAAGTGTCACTGAGTATTTTTTTTCTTCAACACTTCCTGCTTGGATTATTAGAAGAGCTCTATGTATATTACAAATATTAGCCCTCTGTCCTTCACGATGCAATGTTTTTCAAACCAGATTTGTGAATTTTCTTATTGTCATATATTTCTATACACATGATATGAGATAGGGTTTGTTTCATCTCCTTTCAGATGTGTAACCAATTGTATTTGCTGTATTTATTAAATAATTCATCCTTTTCCTACTGAAGGTAGAAAGACTGAGGTAGGTAGATAGATGTATAGAGATATATCTCCTTTATCTATTTCTGGATCTATTCTGGATTCTTAACGCTTTTCCATTACCAATTTTATTAATACTACTGTAAATACCAGAATAATTAAAGGGGTTTTATATCATTGGTTGATATCTAGGAGAATAAGTTTCCCTTGTTTTTTTTTTTTTTTCAAAATATTTTCTGGCTACTCTCAGGCATTCATTTTTATATATACTTTCAGGTCTTTTTTTCTAATTTCAAAAAAAGTTCTCTTGTAGTGTTTTGTGACAAATGAAATTTTGTGATATTAAATTCTCCCATGAAAGCATACAGGATGTTTCACCATCTTACTTTATATTTATTATATTACTGTATTTCTTACATTTTATTTTCCTTAGTTTTGATTTGATAAAGTTGCTATAAATTCAACTTTTCTCCTTGATATTTAGTTCTACTTTAATTCCCACCCATTAAGGATTATTTCCTCATTCCTGAATTCAGAATCAAGTACATACTTCTCCACTACTGTCTGATAACAAGGTAATAACTTTCCCTAACCAAGAACTTTCACTCCCCACTGTATTATCCCCTCAACCATTAAAATAAGACTGTTAGAACACTTTCATCGCCTCCTTATCCTTTTCTCCTTCCCCCATCCTCCCTAGGAAACAGGTCTTTTCAATGCTTTTCCTGTCCCCATATTACTAGATTTTTCTAAGATAGTTTTACATAATTCAAGACTTCCCCTTGCAGATTGTCCCATCTGTTTCAAAAGTCCTCTTTTACCATTTACATTGAGCATGCCTGATAGTTTATCATCTCTCTTTTAAGTTAAATACAAATATTAGAAAGTCCATTCCTCACCACTATTTTCTCTTCATCTTCCCCATCTTTCTGGTTAGTGTATTTTCTTAATACACTCTGAATTCTAGCATAGTATCCAGGAGGCATTAAATTCCAGATATGCTCTTCCATGCACCATTATGCCATCCTAGCTCCTCACTTACAATCAGCATAGTGGATACAGTAAAATCATGTGATAGCTGGTAATGAAATCGTTGTATCTTAAGGATGGTAAGACACTGAAGTGAACATTTTGTGCTGTGCTCCACTGAAGCTGGGTCATTCAGCTTTTTCTGAATGATAGTACGTGGATCTTTTTCAATGCAAAAATGTGTCATGTCTTTCCCGACGACCCAATATTTTAGTGTTTTGAGTATTTTAGAGGATTGGAAGCATACTTAGTATTTTTGTGCAGTTGGGGTTAGTCTCATTAAGCACATACCATCTTGGGGCATTAGTGATTCACCCCTAATGCTGCCAGGTC